ACTTTTGATGATATACCACGAGACCATCACTTCGAAATAACAGAAGACTTGTGTGAGACATTGGAACAGGCGATAGATAAATGTGATAGATGTGATGATGTGATAGATCCATGCCCCAACAGTATTTCAAATTACATCGATTAGTGTTTCCGAGCCGAAAACATCAATCCTGTGTATCACTGCCGGAAGACGTTCGTGGCAATTCGGGCATTACACAAACTGTGCACTCGGACGAGCTCCACAACAGGAGCGCTATTGACCCCTGGCTGCAAGACCGATACTGGTCGTTTGCGTAATGCCGATCGTCAGACGGTAGCCCTGAAACAGCGCGTGCTGAGGGTCACTGCCAGGCAGAGTGGACTAGCGGCGCATCTGTGCCATCCATCCACGCCTTCCTGGCATGCCGCGTAATACACACCCGACTTGGTACATTTGCGCGCGGTTTTTGTGATTCAGTTTTTTTGCGATGGTAGTTTCCTCAGCCAGTTAGCTTGTATGCACCATTAAGCAAAAATCTCGCGTGCGCCATAAGCCAATAAGCTTGCATGGACCAACATGTGTGGTCCATGCAAGCTTAGCCACAAGCATGTTGCCCCATTGCATGGGGCAACAGGATTGTGAACAATGCTCGTGGGTTGAACCAATGCCTGAGCCCAGCACCCTGGCAGAAGCATTCCATAAAAGCGGGGAATATGCTTCCTGCATTTTGAAATGACTGGACGGGCCAGGGATTTTTTTAGCGCGCTACTGTGCTGTGACACGGTCCTCTCGTATGAAGAGACCCTCTCAGAGCAGCTGACCTCCTCAAAGAAACTGACCATCTTAGAGCAGCTGTCCGCCTGCGGAATGCACAGTGGTGTTGAACAATGTGTGCTCCCTCTTGGATTCGAACCCAGAGCCCATGGACCATTTCTCTAACTAATCTCTCGGCTCCAAGGCTAGGAAACACAAAGAAATCCTGTGGTTGTCATTCATTCTCTGTTTATTTTTCTGTTTCTGTCTTTTACGTACCAAGATGCGAGGACAGTTCAAAACCTTCATGAATATTTGTGATTTCCTGCACTGCTAAAAACGCTTCAAACCCAGTATTCTGGGAGCCTTTTTAAGAGCCGCGTCCTGACAGGGGAGATGCAAACACGTGTCCTCGCACTGCGAGTCTCGCATTGGGCTGGGGTGTTCAAAGTTCGGCAAGAAACTCTAATATATGACAAAATGACCATTATGTGGTCGGACCGCTTCCCGTCTCTGAGTCCTTCATGCCATCTGAACTTTCCAGGCTTTGTAACAATGTTAAAGCTGCTGTCTGCTGAAAGCTGAAAAGCTCTCTAAAGAATTCAACATCATTTCGTGGGCAAACAGTTGCCGCATCCTGTAATGAAATGATGTTCGGCGTCGTACGCATTTTTGCCGACCTGAGAGAAAATGTTGATGAGGCGTTCATCGTCCTTACCCTTATCGTCTGGTCACTAATGCAACCTAAGCCTGGAAATTCATGCGTCTCCCGTAGCTTGAGCAAATTTTGATCTTCCTTCGCTTTTACGTCGTGGAACGAAGATGCAGTTCGATGAGGATGCAGCATATGCAGTGAGAGAAGTCGAAAATAACCATATGCATCCGTCCTTCGGATTCATTTTCCTTGTCACTTTTTTGCGACATCGCTTCAGGGATCTGACTCCAACCAATATGTTAGCAGCGAGAGCAAACTGAAGTTTCTGCTTTTTGTTTCACCTCCTGGCCGTTTGGACCGCCAGCCATCCAATCAGGCTCCCCACACAGGAAAGAATCGCTCATCTTCCGGTGCATTTAGACGGATGCTCCTGATTGCAGAGGTACACATTGCTGTTTGTGTGTTTAGGATCAAACGCCGCTTCCTAACGCTTAAACGACGCTTTCTTGTTGCAAGTTTTTTTGAATGAGGCATATGCGATAGTAATGCCAGCAAGCTTACCCTTCACGTTAATCAGAGTCCTCCTAGGTCATCTGAAACGTTCGGGTTCGTCACAGAACGAGTTGTTGTCAGGAAAACTTAATAACGGCTTAGAAGCAAACAGTTTCAGCATAGATATATAATGATCATGCCATCTAAATGTCATGAGAATCTTTTGTGTCCCGCGGAACGAGGAAAAAGGTTTTCAAAAATGGTTCCTCTACTGCAATCTATTCTTTTCCCTTTTTACGTCATTAACCGACTTCAGGCAGAACGTCGTATGCTAATGACTACAACAAAAACTACACCGGCTTATTCCTTTTCGTTTTACCTTTTCAGGGAGGCTTTCTCCTCGTCAGCATCGTTTCTTCGCTTATCGGTGTCCATGGCTCCCTTTTTGCGAGCATTGACGGCACCGCGCCAACGCCGTCCGCCCTAGCGGCCACATCCAACAACACCGATCTTCAGAGGCCGCCGGCAGATGGCGCAGGGAACGCCAGCACCACTGACAGCAGGCCTGGATTTAGCGGCCATCTGCTGACGCTTAGGCGCAGCGAGAGAGCTGCGGCAGGCGGCGCAGCTGGGCGGGACTTTTGACTTAATGCCAGCTGCGACGGGTAAGCAGAGCTGTTGATATTCCTGTGTTCTTCTGGCACTGGTTTAAACGCGGAAAGTTTGGCAACAGTTTGGCAATTGCAATGAGCAGGTGAGTATTCTTTTACTTCCAGAATGTAAGTATACGCCGGTCCTGACCACGCGGTTGGCCGTCTACTGTAATATTTTGCTGTTTTTGCAGTAGGCAATTTGAGCTGTTGCTGTAGTAAAACCAAACACTAGCCAAATGTTCTGCGTATTGTCATATCAGTCGCATATTGTTAGCATGTATAGCAGACACGCAACATATCCATGCTTCAGTTTTTGTCAATATCAAACCAATTGTAGGAAAGGTCCGGGACGGGGGCGGTTACGCGGGTTGCACATTGTGGTAGTGTGTGTGGGGGGGGGGGGAGGGTAGGGGTGTTGGAGGGTACAGAGGGAAGTTGAGACCGAAGACCCGGTCTCCCATGTAATGCCACAGACGTGATATTGAATTATAAAATCGTTGGGGATCTGCACCACCTTCCTCTGGCTGGCGCCCGCCCGGAAAAAAAAATGTCACGAGATATTTCACCATGCGCGTCTCTCCTAAGCTCGCCACGAATCAGCTCCGACTGTCCTACGTCGCGACATGATGTGACCCGACCCGGCTCGGCCGCAACCGACCGACGCCACCGACCGACGCCGCTGGCCGACCGACGCCCCTGGCCGACCGACGCCCCTGGCCGACCGACGCCGCTGGCCAACCGGCGCCACTGGTCGACCGACGCTGCTGGCCGACCGACGCTGCTGGCCAACCGAGGTCGCTGGCCGACCGACGTCACTGGCCGACCGACGCCATTGGCCGACCGACGCGCACGCTGCGGCCAGGCGGAGTACCAACATGACTAAAGTGCGGTAAAAATTTTATTTAGGACAAGCTTGTCAGTGGGTCAAAGTATACAACAACAAAAAGAAAACGGTTATCGAGTCGGAAACACCTAATGGGGGGGGGGGGAAGGCCGCTGTGATTTAAGCATGACAGGTTTAGTAAAGGTAATAACGAGGTAAGATGTCACTAGAATTTAGCGTCGGTTGGTTGGTCTACTGATTTCGTCCGGCGTTGTAGCGCACTTCACAGATTCCATAAGACAGCGGATTGCGGACTTATCTAGGGGTCGGACTAAACTGATTTGGTCATTTTAAACAACACGGGTACTAGGACCGACCGGATTTTGGCACTTTCCAGTCCACGCTCTTTGGCGGATTGGCGGATTGGCGGATTGAGAGCCAATAAAAGTGCAACAGCAGCTAACTTGTCCTAAAAATTGCAACGTGCTCATTAAGTAGGACAGCAGCTTAACTCCACAAGAGACGATAGATATAATATGAATAAATGCAATAACCGGTTGCATAACCGCACTGACATCTCAGTAGCCAATATTGACAGCCATGTATGCTACCTGAGATACACAGTTTTAATTCCTGACAAGCTTTCATTTCGTTTTATTTGTCGTTTTCAACCTTCCCAAATCGTTCCGTGTTGTGATGCCAGACAACTCAAACGTAAAACACTGCGTTCCAAAAATGGTGTTTGATACACAAACAGCACATAAAGACGTCATTGCGGCTGCAACGGTTCTGAATATCGGCCTTCTGCGCGTACTTGCAGCTCGTCGTAGCAGCCGCAGTAACATCGCAATTATTTAACTTTCGTTGAGCTTTTATCGCCGCCAGCAAGACACAGCCACGTTCTTGCGCAAAGCCATCCATCTTCTGTAGCTATGCATGGAGGCCGTCAAATGGGACGATGTCGTGTTGCTGCAGCAAGTAAACCTGAGCCATTCGAACCGGCCGTTAATCTCCGGTCGGAATTTGAAAATGAAAAATCCAAGAAACGAATCCATGGAGCTTGATGGAACCCGGACTGAAGCTCAGCAACAATTTCAGATGGTTCAGCCATATGAACCTATTTTATTCTTGATTTCAGAATATTTTATTCCTTTAAAAAATCATTAGAAATTTCTTCATATTCAGATTCTTCTTGGACCACGTCCATACAGTTTGTCTCAACGGGCTGGCAAAAGGCAAAAGATGACCAGCGTTGCACAAAGTGTGACTCCGCAAATGGGAGGTGGTGGTAACAGCTGAACGTTTCCACCTTTCTGCATCTACGAGGGCCTGCAGGTAGGAGCAGAAAAGTCACTGCTTTTAGGAAAGATACGGACGATAGTGGGCACCAACCGCCAACGTTCGCTCGTCTTTAGGTAGCGGCGTCAGAGTTTTGTCGTCTTTGGAGATCCTTAGCAATGACACAGATCATCAAGCCACTTCTGGCTTGGTGACATCTGTCTGGTGATCTGGTGATCTGTGGCTCTGGCAAATGTCCAAAGGTTCCGTGCCTTTAACGTAGCAGGACGTAGCGGCGGCTGGAGACGGAAAAGCCGAGCTGGGATCAATTGGAGATGTGTTCATGTCAAAACACCCGACCGAAGACATGATACAGACTCGTCAGATGACGGACAATTCACAGCAGACTACCTGCGCGCTCTAACATGGACACCAGCTTGTGCCGAGTCACCAAAATCCTACAAACGGCTGCGTTTTTGGTCCTCAAAGGCAAACAACAGCATCCTGACCTTTGAGGAGCCAGGGTGCAGCCTTCTACACCCCGAATGCCGACAGAATCCCACTTACCACACACACTTGCTTCGCAACACCGCACCAGAGTACATAATACACACGTGGTTGGATGTTGACGCATCTAGACCCTGGCAATTCGCGCATAGGCACCTCCCCCACCCCCTTCTCCGCCACCTGCTTACAACAGCACACTCCCGTGCGTGACAGGATACGACGCCAAAAAGTATCACGACAAGTATGGCGGCAAGTACTACGATGACCACGGCTACGGTGGCAGTCACCACGGCAAGAAGGGCTACAAGGGCGGCAAGTACTATGACTCGGGCCACGGCCACTACGGTAAAAAGTATGGCGGCCATGGACACGGCAACAAAAAGGTAAGATGGCGTCCCACTGAGGGGTATGACATGGGTCTTTGACTACCGATGAGTCATCTCTGACTGAGTACTAGCCTGTGAGGTCAAGAGACCAACAGTCAATCAGTACACCAGTGTTGGTTTTCATTGACGAGTGTTTAGATAATGGCGGTTCCTTGCGCAGTTGAGTATGTTACGTGCCATTGATTTCGAATGCGTCTGTATGCTGTAGAACTGCAAGATAAAAATGATTGGCGCCATCTGACTTTAACATTGCCATTAGCGTAACCCACAGCTCCAAAGCAATATCTTGTTTTGCCATTGTACCACTCTGTATGCTTGCCAGCCAGTAGTCATAAGCCTGCGACACTGCAACCGTTGGCTTCAAAACAAAGCCGTTCAGAGAGAAAGAGGGCATCGTTTGTTTTCTTTTCACCGCGAACAGATATGTGCCCACTCGTTCAACAAGGGCTCTGACGGCTTGTGTGACTTGTAAGTTCGTCGTGTTCTTAGCAGCATCAAAGTCTTCACCCATCATCAAGCAGAGCGGTTAACGTCATACCACGCATTGCAGGGATATTATGGAGACCACGGAAACAGCCACCATGGATACAAGGGTGGCAGCAAATACTACGGAGACAATCACGATAAGTACCACGGCAACAAGGGCCACAAATACGGCAACAAGGGCTACTACGACAAGGGACACAAGAATAACGTGAGCCAATGGCGCAGCAGCGCTGGCATGCTGCCGCTCGGGATCGGGCTGTTAGGCTTGGGTTGACCTGGTGCCGCTCGGGCTCGGGTTGTGAGGCTGGGGTTGACCTGGTGCCGCTCGGGCTCGGGTTGTGAGGCTGGGGTTGACCTGGTGCCGCTCGGGCTCGGGTTGTGAGGCTGGGGTTGACCTGATGCCGCTCGGGCTCGGGTTGTGAGGCTGGGGTTGACCTGGTGCCGCTCGGGCTCGGGTTTGTGAGGCTGGGGTTGACCTGGTGCCGCTCGGGCTCGGGTTTGTGAGGCTGGGGGTTGACCTGGTGCCGCTCGGGCTCGGGTTGTGAGGCTGGGGTTGACCTGGTGCCGCTTGGGCTCGGGTTGTGAGGCTGGGGTTGACCTGATGCCGCTCGGGCTCGGTTGTGAGGCTGGGGTTGACCTGATGCCGCTCGGGCTCGGGTTGTGAGGCTGGGGTTGACCTGGTGCCGCTCGGGCTCGGGCTGTGAGGCAGGGGTTGGTCCGGTGCCGTTTGGGCCCGTTTTGTGAGGCTGGGATTGACCTGGTGCCGCTTGGGCTCGGGTTGTGAGGCTGGGATTGACCTGGCGCCGCTTGGGCTCGGGTTGTGAGTGTGTGGCACGCACTCAAGCTGCTCCCATGTGGAATGATGACGGGACATCAATGTGCAGGACTTTGAACCATCGAAGGGCCTAGAACTGTGGAACATTGAGGGACCCCTATACCAGGGACCATGGCATTCATATGCGTGGTGCCTCCTGTGTTGTAGGTGTAAGCTCACCATGGGCATGTGGCCTCATGCTATGACTCAAATTACCCATGACACTAATCCTTCGAACAAGGACTTCGGCACCTAAGAAGCAGAGCGCTTTGTTTAGTTTTGATGTGATATGTTTGTACTCTGAAGCCCCAATAACTTCCAACATGGTGTTGACAGCATACCTCCGGCAACAGATTTCGATACTGAAGACGCTGTTACGCGATGTCTGGATCGTTGTCCGCTCTCCCATGTTCGCGCCAGGGCAGGAAATAGCTTAAACAGCCCAGTCGGAAAAGCGCGACGCTCATTTGTTGCCACCGATGATGTAATTTCATCATAGAACGCAGTTAATTTATTGCGCAATACTTTTAAGCCTATTCGTGTCCACACTAGCGTGCCTTTCAGCCGTGTAACATACGACCTGCTGCCCACTCAGGGCTACAAGAACATCCACCACAAGGAGGAGTATCATGCCAAGAAGAAGTTCTACGATAACTACCACGACGACGGCTACCACAACAAGTACAACGACCACCACGGCTACTATGGAGGGCACGACGGCAAGAAGTACCACGGCGGACACTACAAGGTCGGTAGAATCACTTCCTAGACAGGCCGAATGCACTGCTTCATCAGCAGTGGCCACCGCTGGCACACAATGAATCGATCCTCACTTACGCTTTGCGGTAAGACGGCACCGTCTTGTAGATAATTGGTTATGACATGACAACTTGCTTCGTGGCAGCAATGAGCCCCTTCAACCTAGAATTCATTATCCATCTGCCATCATTCGAAATGCTATCCCATAGCTATAGCTATAGCTATCCCATATCAGGGCCAGAAACTGCTGCTTAATATCGCCATGGCTGTGGCCTGCGTTAATCGCCGCAATCATGTGCCCGACCACCGTGTGCTGACACCTTCTCTTTTGTCTTTCGTAGAAGGGACACTACGACCAGAAGAAGGGCCATGACGGCTACTACAAGAACGGCCACGACTATGACAAGTACGGCGGCCACAAAGGGAAGTACGGCCATGACAGCCACGACGGGTACAAGGGCCACCACGGCAAGTACCACCACGACAAGTACAAGAATGGCGACCACCACGGCAGCAAGTACGGCGGCGGCTACGGCGGCGGCTACCACTAGACCAGCCGCGTGGCAGGGCTGGCTGGAAGCGTGTGCACTGCTTTTGCTGCAGGCGCCAAGGCTATGCCACATGTGTCGGAGGATGAGGGGCCATGTGCAAACTGTTCCGCGTCGTTGATATTCTTAAGTTTTGTTGAAGAAATCAGACATGTTTCCATTAGCTGCTTGCTAGAATGTTGACATGGTCACTCTGTAGTTGACCAACATGAGTTCAGTCCTGGCAACGGTTGAGACTGGACAAAATTCCTCTCTCCGATAGCCATGGACTGTACCATATGAAGAATATTTGAAAGGCGCTACCAAAATACAAGTGTTCAGCTTCATGGTAATTTGTTTATGGCTGCAAACCAACAGCACAATTTGCTTTTGTTTCCTGCAATTTTGAGCCATTCACGTGCCTGGGGGTCATGTTTACGTGTATACTGATTTATCAGAGCGCTTCATCAACCTTAGTCGGAGGGTGTCCCGGACAAATGTACCATTAGTGTACAACACTAAAAGTTGTTTTCAAGCCTTCCATGCTACCTCGGGGAAGCAGAAGTCCGCAGCGTCGTCAGTGACTATACACCTAAAGTAAGAGACCCCGGATCTGCGAGATAGCCCTAAATAAAAGAGAAACACCTTTGTCTTGCAAGATTGCAAAGTGCGGCAGGCGTGGAAGAAGTCCAGCGCTGCCGAGATGTTGCTCCGAGCTCGTTGCCTGCGTTCCCAAACAAACACAAATGGTTTCCGCTTCCTTGCAATGGAGACGGGAAACACGCATTGCGTACGTACTGTTCTGATCATTACTGCATAGAGGTACGATATGAAATGATAAGATCAAACAGTGGTGTATTAAGGAGTATATGTACTTAACAGAGGAACTGTGTTACCCCGAGCAGTCTTTTCCACTTTAGGCATACCAATAGTTATGAGAAAAATTATATAATCATACGTGATACGTTTTTTTAATATCTTTAGAATTGGAGCAATTCCCTTACTGGTGTTAAGCATAGGCTGCTAACTGCATTTGCGAGGAACATGATGCATAAAGATCAGGCAGTATTGATAGCCTCATTCCTCGTAGACTACACATAACAATGGAGAGATGATGTTCATTGTTGTGTGTGATGCACACCATGTTTATTCCACGACCAATACGCCTATTAATACTGTCTCATCTATGCGTCTTAAACTTGGTCTATAAGGACTTTGTGCTCCATTGTAGCGCACGCTCCAACCCAAGACAACCGCGAGCCACGGGGCGGACTCATTCAGACGCTACTTAGAGCTTGGAATACACTGACATCGATTCGACTCATTCATGAATGGGGAATCTGACATGTACGTTCGCAGCTATAACGTCGACAAACCATTTTTCTTTTACCCGTTTGGTATTCTGTTCCTGGATCCGTTGACCGATTTTCGTTTGCTCGACGAGCAGTGTGGCCGACCTGTGATCGAATGTCACACGCATGACGGCGATTAGTTCCCTCATAACATGCCGCAGTAGATTATGTTTTTGGAAGTTTAATACCCATTCACCCACGCGCCCAATTGCATGGTTGTCAAGCTTAGATTCTTAAGCAATCGCAGGGTTGTGAAACTGGAGTCAGGCCAGTAATTGCGAGCCAGGCTTATGACTTCTCAGCAATTCTCTACCTGATGATAAATCAATGGTCGCTTAGCGTTTTGGTAAAGACTGAAACCAGCACGGTCAAAGCACGCGACGGTATTTATGAGGGAATTTAATGACCCGGGGTTCAACCTTGAAAATCCGAGAAGCGAAGGGCACAGCGTCGTGCTTTGCGAACGCAACGCCAGACAATGGCGCCTGGGGTGGGGGCTTCGCTCCGCTGAAGAGGTGACCTGAATGGGTGGCTGAGCGTAGTCCCATGCGTAGTAATCAATTAAAAAAGATCGAAAGGTTGGGGAAAGCGGCGATTTATCCTTGACCATCTGATGAGACGCACGTGGTCTGATGACAAGACCAGCGGCGAAGATGAGGGGTAAGTGTTCAGCCGCCCACATGCTGTGACGTCACAGGATGTCTGAAGACGTTAGCGCTCCACATCGTGACGTCACAAGATGACTGATGATGTAGCGGTTTCACATCGCTGCATCACAAGACACCTAATGAAGTGGTGCTTCACATCGTGTTAAACTGCCGGACTGGTGTAATGTGCCTGGCCTCAAAATCGATTTCTGCTGTTTTGCCTTGAGCACCGCGCCAATCATCGCACGATTTTGGCCAGTGTTTAGCTCTGTAAAGCACTGTGCACCAGACCGCCCCACGCACAGCTCCTGCCATAAACTGCGCGCCGCGCAAAACATATGACACGACTCGTTCCGCCTAAGCAGCAATCCCGCTTTGCATGTAAGTGACACATGTATGTTTGTCATTGTGGGGCGGTCCGCCAACAATTTTCAGTTCAGCAATTTCCAGTCTAGCACGCTACCATCAGCCAGCAATTTATGAATGCGCTCGGAAGCTTACGTGCTTCTGCCTGCGCCTTAGCCGTGCCGTAATGAGACAGTAATGAAAATCCTCCTATAAACGCTTTGCGGTCCACAAAACTGCCAGGGCCTACGTCCGAGCGCCATTTCAGTTTCACGGTCAGTGGGCGCTGGGCCGGCAGCTGGTCAGTGGACGCTGGGCCGGCAGCTGGTCAGTGGACGCTGAGCCGGCAGCTGGTCAGTGGACGCTGGGCCGGGTAGTTGGTGAGTGGACGCTACTGTGCTTTGTTCGCGCAGTGTTCACCGCTGGGTGTAGCTCCACTGTCGCTGAGACCCGCCGCGCGTTACCCCTTACCCCTCTCTACACACCTACACTCGTCCCCCCTTTCTCTCTCTCTCTCTCTCCCTCTCTCTCCTCTTCTCTCTCTCTCTCTCTCTCTCTCTCTCTCTCTCTCTCGCTCTCTCTCTCTCTCTCTCTCTCTCTCTTTTCTCTCTCTCTCTCCTCTCTCTCTCTCTCTCTCTCTCTCTCTCTCTCTCTCTCTCTCTCTCTCCTCTCTCTCTCTCTCTCTCTCTCTCTCTCTCTCTCTCTCTCTCTCTCTCCCTCTCTCTCTCTCTTCTTTCTCTTCTCTCTCTCTATCTATCTTCCACAACACACGTTCAGGCGTTTTGAGCTGGCTCATAGCCGACTGACTGTTTGCAGGTGCCATCGTAGCCGCATCCACACATTCAACCCAGGGGAGAAGCCTCTCCGTCGAGTCTTTGGAAGTCGCGCTTCTGCCAAAACAGACTTACTAAAAGCGTCTGTTCCGGCGAATTCGTACTTAAAGTGTGTCACGCCATATGAAGAATACCTTGAAGAGCTTTAAGAAGAGCTTTTGAGAGGAGCTTCAAGTGCGTCACGCCACACGCCTCAACAAGAAACCTGAACGAGTGAACCTGACCATCCTTCAGCGTCACAAGCCTCAGCCAGTACCGGCAGCTCACTCAGCAGAGCAGACGTCGGAGCCATGAAGACGCTGCTGCTCTCGTTTCTCCTGCAGGCGACAGCAGGCGTCGGCAGCGCGTCCGACGACGAGCGCGCTCGATTCCGTCGCACCGGCGGCACGTTCTCCTTCGCTCCGTACCTGACCGTCTCGGTCACTACTCCTCTCAGCTGTGCGTTCACCTGCCTGACGGCGAGGCCGGAGCTCTGCGCGGGCTTCACGTTCGTCCAGTGGCACGTGCCAGCTGTTCAGCAGCTGGGAGGACTGCCGCTTGCCAGGCGCACCCTCGGATCCCCCCGCGGCAGACGGCGAGCGCTGGATCCTCTCCAGGTGTCCAGGTCAGAATCCCTGACGCGGTATTAGGCAGCTCGCTTTGGATCCGTGTAGTGCGAAAGCTGCCGTCAGAGTTAAGGCAACATACACTGGCGTAAAGCAGGTACAAAACTACTGCTATGGAGCTGTTTGCCTCGTAAATGTCTTGCAATCACCGTAGATGAGCTTATTTGCAATCATCGTAAATGCACTTGTTTCATAACTCCCATAAATAACCCTCACATTAAGCGGGGGTCTGAAATGAACACCAATATCAAACAATTGAGCGAAAAGAAATTAACAAATCATCCTCCAGATGTTTCTAATATAACGGGTAAATAATGGAGTACAACACGGTAAGTAACGGGGTATAGCGGGATAAACTGCACGCGGTAGCGTACGGTTAGCTTAGATTTGTGGGTAAAATGCGATCCATCACATGTTGAGACCAGTCACCACTTTGTGTGATGTCAAGTCACGGAGATGTGAGGTCACTTTCGAAGGCTTGCAAGGCGCATCGGTCTTTTCCTAGCCCTTCCGGGTGCGCATTGCACATTACGGATGACACGTCAGTCCGGACCACAGCTCTCGTCGGGCGCGAGAGTTTGCACGCAGCGTTTCGGCCACTCAACCCCGCAGACGCCATCGGGTGTTATGGAGTCCTGGGAAGGACTGATTACTGCTCGGATATCAGCCATGCATGCGTCACAAATGATACTCTCCTCGGCATTGCTGGCATTCGAACCAGGATTCCTTGATCGCGAGTCCAGCGTTCTACCGAGTCCGGGTTGTGACACACGCGTGGCCGATGGTCAAGCATCGCCTATTCCTCAAGACTTTGTAAGGCGCGAATAGCTAATGCGGTTAACGCGCCCTTAAAATTCAATCACTAACTAACTCAGGAATCCATAATGACTGACGACGGCCAGAGAGGTAGCGGGCTGACACGTGGTGTACAAATTAATGCATCACACGAGGGCCATAGATCAATCATCTTTCCGTGCTATTAGTACATTGTCTCCATCATTCCGTATAACCGAAATGAGTATGCTGGGTGTTTTGTCATGAATTTGAGCCAACCTTCAGTAAACAGTTTGCACTACGCCTGATAAGGTGCTCCGTTTTTTTTCGCTCGGCAATTTGTAATTTCACTTGACATGACTTCTTGGTGATGTGATACTATTTATCGTTGAATGAGCTTGACCGAAGGTAATCGAATCAGCTGGTGCATCATACCGAAAAAAGAAAACAAGACAGAAAACTTCGAGC